GTGTGTGTGTGTGTGTGTGTGTGTGTGTGTACAATGCGACAGCTCTGTCACCTCCTACAAAAGGTTGCCGGAGCAATCTGTTCAACCAGATATTAAAGGAGGGTAACATGCGCGCTACTGCCAGTCCCCTCATCTGCCTGGGTGTGCTTCCTGTATTTCCACCGTGTCCATCAATAAAGACCCAAAACAAAGGTTATGTTATGATAATAGGTTCAGTCTGGCCCTGCCTTAGAGAAAGACCCCCCACCCCAGGGTGAAAGGGAGGGGTGAGGCAGAAATGGCTTTGAGCTATTTTTTGGTTTTTACTTTTAAACCGTATAACCAGTAACTCAATGCTGATTGGGAGCCTCGTTCCTCAAACCTACCAATCGTTTATTACACGGCGGTCACATTATAGCAGCGTGCATGCCACCTTCAGAGCGCCTGTTGCTCCGGTTATTAGATCTGGACTGAAACCACCTGCTTCTTGTAAAGCAGCAATGCAAATCATCAATGACATAATAGTGTGTGTTTTCCTGTGCGTGTGACTGTGTGAGACACACACACACACACACACACTAAGGCTCTGTGTTTTATCTTCTGTCCATTTTATTAATCCTCTCTGCGTTTGGACGCCAGCCTGCACAAACTTTAACAATCAGGCTTTTGCTGCACTTAAACAAAAGCTTTTCAGTAAAATCCAGTTTATACAGAAGAGCCACGAGCAAGAATGCAAGCAGCTGTGCACTGTAAAAACACGCGGAGGGAGAAGACACACAAACCTGCACGTACAACAGCAGCGGTTCAGGGTCAGGGTCTCTCTGTTAGCTCAACAAAACCTTTGGAGGTTTTTTCCCAACAAAGTCCAACTGAACGCTGCCTAGACTGTATATAAAAGATGGGCATGTGGCTAGCTGTAGTGAGGTGCAGAAGTCCCATAAACCTGCATTGTTGCTGATGACCACCAGGGGGCGACGCATGTGCTCGCATGTAGACTGTGGGAAAAACAAAAATCAATCAGTCAATCATTCTAATTTTATTTGTATTTCACTTTTCATGCAGCTGACTGCAGCTCAAAGTTTCACACATGACTGAGAAGCAAAATCATAAACCTGTAATAAAACAAAGCAAACAGCATATGGTGAAAAGCAGTGTTGGTCAAGTTACTTGAAAAAAGTAATCAGTAACTAATTACTGATTACTTCCCCCAAAAAGTAATCCCGTTACTTTACTGATTACTTATTTTCAAAAGTAATTAATTACTTAGTTACTTAGTTACTTTTTAAAAACACGATTTACAACCTGAATAGGTGTTTCAAGTAACGCGTTACTGCCCATCTCTGGTGAAAAGCAATTTACAGTCATTTAAGCTGCTTTCAGCTCCTGAAGATTGAAGGGTCACCCCGGTGGCTCCCTCCATATTTGATTTGACAGATTTTCCTAAACAGCCAAATTATCAAATAATTAAAATGAGATTCAAATTAACCTAAAAGTCCAAAAACAGCAGGTCAAATAAATGATGTCAAGAAAATGTCGCCTCCACAGCACATTACCTCCCCGCAGCATTTAGCTACCCTACTTCTTACATTACTTTCAAATTACGCCATAACAAGCAATACAAGTGTGAGGTTACACACTGACACAAATCTTTATTCTAAAGAACACACACACACACACACACGCTTTCTTTTACTGTTTGACTTTGAACACAACAGTAGGACTCGCAGAGCTCCTGTTCTGCTGTAGAACTGGAGGCCACAGCGCTGCAGGTCTGATGCTCATCGCTGCTCAGTGTTGACATCACACGTCTGCGCTTTGTGTCGGCCTGCTGTCTCTGAAGACGCTTTCTAAGAGTCGGTGTCCTGTTTGCAATTTGTCTTCTTGTCCTCTTGAACAATCAGAGTAATGTTCATATCTCCGCTCCTCTGAAACAGCAGACCACGCCTTCATGTCCCCCCCCGCAAACTGAAGTCAGCTGATTGTAGTGTGAGTGCAGGAATAAATATGGCTTCATCTTTGGTCAAACTTCCACGTCCTGCAGAAGAAAGAACATAAAGACATAATTGTTTGCCTAGTAACTGTATCCAATACAGTTATACGTAACAGTAACATGTTACTTTGTAACACTTTACACAGAATCCTGGTTACATCATAATTGTAACCAATTATAATCATATTCAAGTAAAAAAAGTCATATGTATAAAGGAAGCTTGTGAAGAGGCAGATTTGAAACACTTTCCTCGTGAGCTTATGGTCTCAGTCACTAGTTTAAAGTCTCACTGAATAAAACATGATGTTCATTTTCAGCTGATGTTTTACAGCAGAGCTACTAAGTGACTGACGAGTCAGGAGCGCATGAGCGCGCAGCGTCGCTGATCCCTGTGCAACATCTAAGTGCAGTGCAACAGTCTGAAAAACCTCTGTTATATCATCTTTTCCACTACTTAAAACTGCTATCTTTATGAATATTACCCATTTATTTATGATAAAATAGGAGCTATTCTTTTTTATTGTTCTTTTATGCGAATGGTGTGACTGATTGTGTCTGTTTGTCAGCACCAAGTTCAGCCGCGCTTCTTCTCTGTAAGCTCGTGACGAAAACAATGAATTTCATCTGAAAATCCAAAGATGACGATGAGAGAAACGCTCGCTCGAGGGTCAGAACTCCGACTCAGCAGGTGATGCCTGCATCTGCAGCTCTGTGTCCCCTCTGTGGTCGATGTTCTTCTGTCTCCATCTTCACATTTCCACCTGTGTCTCACCTGCTTTGGTTTTTGTGTCTTCAAGTTTGTCTCCGGTGCTTTTATAGAGCTCATCTTTATTTTTTCATGTCTGCTTTAGTTCCTATTTTAAATAAGTTAAAAAAAACAACAACACGCTGGTGGTGCAAATAAAGTAAGAGAGAAATGATGCAGAAACATTTGTGAGTCAGTATTTTTTCATAGCTGCACATTAGAGTCATGAAAATGCGTTACAGTGTTCCTAAAATATCATCAGGGAAAAAAACAGTTAAACATGCATCAGCTCGGAGCTGATTGAAATCCAAACTCTGAACATAACCTGCCAGCAGATCAGGTGTGCACAACAGGTTACTATAGCGATCTACCTGGGTTAAAAAAGAGGCGCCTTTGTGACACTGAAGACTTTGCCTCGGACAGGAAGTCAGCAGGAGGACAGGAGGTTACGTGACAGTTTTAGGAATCAAAGGGTGAGCAGACAGGTAATTAATGGCTATCAAACGCTTGAGTTTTACGCCACTTAATGAGCACGACTGTGTTGAAAACACTCCAGATGTGTTTTCAGCCTGTGTGTTTGTGTACCCCGAGGAATTCTGCTAAAACAGTCGATGACAACAAGTGT